CTGCAGGGACTAAAAAAAGGAAAAAAAAAGGACAATGTCGTGATAAAATGTGTTCTAGAGCTGTTCCTGCATGGATTAAAAAAAAGGCAAAAGAGAAAATGTCTGAGCTTAAAAAAGCAAAAAAAAAAAAGTGTCTGAGCCCAGGTTCGAACTGGGGACCTTTAGTGTGTGAGACTAACGTGATAACCAACTACACCACCCAGACAATGCGGTGAGCTGTTGTTTTCTTGTTTCTTTGTTCGCTGTGCGTGGTCTGCAAAAGTGCTGCGGTTGGGTTGTGTTTCGTCGTAAAATATCGTAAATTTCTAGCCGGAATAATATTTTTCTCTCACACCAAACCAGTCAGTAATACTTCTTCACGAACCAGCAACGAATAAACCTAGCCAAACGGACAGGCTGCTGGCTATCTAATCATCCTCCGGCTGAACTCCAGCTCCAGCTTTGCATGCGTAAACCTCCACAAGACTGTATCAGACAGTCAGAGATATGTAGTACCATTGTCCATGTCCTACGTCAACGATTCAAGCCTATTTTTTAGAGTTTTATTTAGGGCTGAGCCCCAGTCTTTTAATAATTGGATTAAAAGACGGTTACATCCCTGCAGGTGGCATACCACCTGTTTGTTGACAATGAAGGTCCAAAAGCCACCAGGACCCACTACGCATAACCAAAACGCAGAAAAGCAATGATAAAAAAAAAACGCAGAAAAGCAACAGATAGAACTATCCCAAAGCAGCCAGACAGAATACATCTCTGCTCCCAGACAATCTTCAGGTTATCAATGGGTTTCTCTTCTTTGGCAAGGAAGGCCTGAATAATCTTCAGGTCATCATTGCGATGGTCCTCGATCGCTATTCTTGGAATGATATGGTATGGAAACGCATCTGCTAAACCAGGTGGCGAAGAGGTCCGCGAGTCTGAAGGGAAGTTCAGAAGAAAAGGACGGTGCAGAGAAATAACCTTGCTAATCTCATTGCGACTGAGATGAGAGAAACTACACCTGTGCTGTGGTTATATATATGGTGACTGGACAAAAGTGGAAAGGTTATATGCGTTTGCCGCAGCAGCTGAACTCTTCCCGTTTACAAACATAGCATTGTTTATAGTTACAGGTATACGGTGTGACTCCATTTTTTTGGCTCTCTGAATCTGAATCTGAATCATTTGTAGCGAGGGGAGACGACTGATGTTACAAGATTTCAAGACTGTTTTATCAAATCTAACATACTGTAATTGTTTCATCAAATAGTGCAATTGTTTTCACAAAACGTTAGACATTGCCCTTGTTATACGTGTGGTGTGTTTGTCACGATCTCCTCGCTTACAAATTGATGCAGCTAACTAGCTGAATGTGGTAAGCCCGGTAAGAATACTGAGCATTGTCAGGCCGGATGTTCAGTTACAGCACTGTTTGCCTAAGCAGCCTTTAGCTATTTTTTTTATAAACACGTTACATGGTGGTGCTAAACCATTTTTGATAAATCAGCCATTTATTTCATTTAGTTGGCCCTTTTTATATCCTGAATGTAATAGCTAAACGATAGATGATCATGTGTCTGGCGTTGTATGCCACCGGAATCAATTGTACATGGTACACCCACATCATGTCAACATTACATCAAGATACAAGTAACAGCGTATGGAAGATGGAACTACGGATCACTGAGAGCTGTAGCTTTGCTAAGGACATGTATTTTTATATATAATTTATTTAAGCATACAGATATAGGGAACACCATAATCAAGAAAATCATCTGAGGCACACTACATGAGCAAACTTTTTACCACCAAATCTTAAGCACTGCAAGAAAATTTTGCAAAAAAAAAAGGGCAGACTCAGTGCTGGAAGCTCCCACATGAGTGGGGTCTAGGGAAGAAAAAAACTGAGGCAAGCCTTCCCCCCACAAAATCTATGAAGAGGCTGCTTCGAACCCGCGACCTAGTGACTCAGTGAAACAACTCTCACCGCTGCACCAGGCCTGCCCTTCTGCAAGAAAATTTTGCAATAAAGAAAAAAAATTTGCAAGAAAATTTTGTAGTTTACACCAGTCTTAGTGTTTTTTCTTTATAGAAAATTTTGCAATAAAGAAAAAACACCAAGATTGGTGTAAACTACAAGGCAAAAAAAATCACAAGAAATTCTTATAGGAAAAAATGAGAATCAATCATATCCCTAAGAATGCCAGATCTCAACAGTGTATACATAGATGTTGGTTCCTTCAACCTCCCATCAGAGTGGGGAGCACCAACTGAATGAGCACTCAGATAACTCTAAGTCTGTCTCCAACAACCGCGACCCAAAATACAAGACTCATTTGTTCTTTGGATAGCGCTACAAGTAAAATGTTCAATACCTATTTTTAGTCTTCTCCAACAACAAGACCCAAAAGACAACCCTTTCTGCAAATGGATCTCCAGGAGAGAGGATACTTATATTTGGGTTATGCCTCTCCTGGCACACAAAATGGGTCTTCCATATAGGTACTCTGTTGGAGGCTATATGTATTGTGTTAGGAGACCTATTTTGGGTTTGGGTTCCGCAATGGGTCTCCTGTTGGAGACAGCCTAAATGTTCGTCACAAGGATATACAGAAATTTACACAAGAAGCATACAAGAGCCAAGTTAAAGGGAAACTGACATCCTGCCAACATGTCACAATGCAACCGATTTGATCTAGTCATATCAGCTGTAAGCAAAATATTCTGAAGCAAGCAAAATACATCTCAATCAGCTTGCTGAGAAACCTTTTCCTCGATTGTAAATAGAGAATTTCCAAATGATAGGGCAGGATCATATGCTCTACCATGGCTAGTTGCTACTGTAGAAAAAGATGCCATTCAATGTTGACCCAATTGGATTATGAGCAAATTAAGGTTCCACAAAATTAACGTATTTCTCAAGCAGTCATGCTAGGTGCACAAGAACCATCCAAATAGCATCAGACCATTACATTGTAGCAAAATGGAAGACGAAACTCACAAACTTCTAAGAAAATACTGAAAAATGATGTTTGAAAAATCAAATACAAGGAAATAGAACCAAGTAGGAACAGGGTACTATGGACAAATATTGCATTTCAGAGGCCATCTACAGTCGCAAAATACAAACAAAAAACACATGAGTTTCATGTTTGCCATATCAATTTCAAGTAAGCAACAACTATTATTTATGATGCTGGTTGGTCAATGTCATAAACAAGAATACCTAGTCAGCCAGTCCAAATAATACCTGGTATACTACTACCATCGACCTGATGCTGCTCTATCTTTAAGCAACTTGTCTCCTCTCCTCTTTCATCTTGTTCGCAATCTCAATTACCTTCGGGTTAAATAAACGATCCATAACATATTTCTTTTCCTCTGCTTGTATTTCTTTTATGGCACTTGGGTATGGATTTGGAGGTGGCTTCTTTCCTTCACTGTGGGTGATTTCTTTCAGTTCCTTGTATGCTTTTTTCTTTGCTTTCTTCTGCGTCCAATACTCCATCTAGAAAAAGGATGGTTGTTATACGACAGAAATCTAATAAAACCAGTAGGCGTTCAAACTTAAACGACTCAGTAGCTTCAAACTCAAGTACAGTGATGCCCAGAATTGATTTTTCTGTTTAAGGGTGTTTGATAAAAATAAACAAAAGGATTATAGAAGAGAATAATTACATCTGCTACAGCCATCACATCATCTTCACTGACTCCTTGCTCTTTCAACTCCAGAACACGCCAAGCAAAAACTCAAGCTGGTGGTGGATCAAATCCACTTATCCTGAAAAGGATGGGCAAACAATGCATCTCGTGTCCAAAGTGAGAAACTCAAATAAATCAAGCCCAAGAAAAAGAGAGGAAATATTCCAGAGAATAGCACCAAAACAGTAATGCCATCCGTAGTAGGACCAAAAAAGAGTCAATTATCATGTGCTGGCCTACAGATGGAAGCTGAAGATAGTCACCAAGGTACCAAACTAATACTAGAATGTTCAAAAGGACCACACAAATTCAAGAACCCCATTAATCAGTTTGCAACTGTGCATCCATCATATTAAGCAACTGTTTTCACTAATCCAGCAACTATATAACAGTATTCATAAGATGAGTGATACAATCAGGCTTCGATGAGAAGGCCAAGCAAGTCCCATATAACCATGTACAATACAAATGGAACCCATGTAAATCTTGAAACAGAAAAGTGGAATGAAAACAGGAAAAACAGTAAAAGAAAAATCATCCTGCCCTCCACCAAGACATTGGAAAATTAAAAATCGATTATTATTTTAACTATATACAGCGTTGCAGAATGACGTTTCTATAAGGAAATCACATAAGAAAAGAGAAGGGTCTTACTTGATTGCATCATGGTAGAGCGAATCTGGATGTTTTTTTGTTGAACTTCCTAACATACACATCCTCAGGAAATCTTCTTGATCTTCCCATCTGCGCGAGGAAATGCCACTGGTGGTGCCCTAATGCACAAGCGCTGCTTGTTTCAGTAAACCAGAAATCAGCATGAAGAACAAGAACGGAAATGTCACAGGAGACAAATGATATGGCACTTTTAAACAATTTATTTATTTATTAAGCATAATACATAGACACACTAGCCATCTTCGGTCTGTACGAAGATACAAATGTAGCACAAGTGAACCAAACGAAGCACGATAACAGAAACCAGCTGATGGCAACAGAAACTACAGCCAAGAATCAAATCTACATGCAAAATTGTTTCAGCACAGAATCATGTCATTTACATCGCTACAGATTATAGATCCATTGTCCATGGATGAGCAATCAAATGGGAGAAAACCTATGCGATTTCTCGTAGAGTTATATTATTCACAGAATCCAAACAAGCCTAACAGAGCCATCAACAGCATCCAAATGGTCCATCGTCCTGACCCTAACGGCGGCGTCACGGATGGGTCGACCAATCGAGCAATGCAAGTGCAAGGGCACAGCTAGGGACGGGGAAGGAGCGGAGAGGTTGGCGTAGCGAGAGCACTGACTCTTCCATGGCCTTGAGCCACCTGGGCTCGGGCCTGGCGAGGCCCTTCACCAGCTTCCGCATCTTCGCCAGTAGGACCCCCTCATGTACGACATCTCCCTCCCCTCCGCCCTCGTCGGAGAGATCTGGAAGTCGCAGAGGCCTCGCCGCCGCCGCCAGTGCAGAGTGGAATGGTTGGGAAGACTCACTGCAGAGTGGGGGAAGGGAGGAGGAGAAGGACCTCGCGTGCGCGCGGTGTTTACGGGCTTTTAGTTGGGCCCTCGACCCATCCGCACGGCCTGCTAGACACAGTCGCCGTTGGATCGTACAGCTCGTAGCGGACGACGCAGATTGCGCCACTGTAGAGAGGCGACGTCGGCCTGAGCCTGAGCCTGAGCGACGTGAAGCCAAGCAAGCAAGTGGCGGTAATGGCGGCGGCTCTGCAAGCCACGCCGCTCAAAACCCTAGCCATCTCCCGCCGGCGCGTCGGCGGCGAGCTTCCGGTGCTCCGCGGCGGCTAGGAGCTACAACATCACGCTCCTCCCTGGGGACGGCATCGGCCCGGAGGTGGTCGCCGTCGCCAAGGACGTGCTCTCCCTCGCCGGTGCCCTCGAAGGTAAGCCCCCTCGTCACCCTCCAATGCTTGCCTTAGCTCCCTGAAACTCCGAGGCGCTAGCACCTACCAGAATCATGACCCCCCTTGTTTGCTTCCTTCCGTCCGCCGCAGGCGTCGAGCTCCGGTTCCAGGAGAAGCTGGTGGGTGGCTCGGCGCTGGACGCCACCGGCGTGCCGCTCACCGACGAGACGCTCGACGAGGCCAAGGGTTCCGACGCCGTCCTCCTTGGCGCAATTGGAGGGTGAGCGGATTTGTTATTGTCATTTCAGGAGCAGACACAGAGCCCACAGTATTGGAGAAAATTGCTATTATAGGACGCGAAACAACGGGCTTCGCTATTATAGGACTCCAATCGTCGACTTCGCTAAAACGACACTTGAAACGTTGGCACTTTGTTTTAGATGACATTTGGTGTATTTCTTGACTTTGGTAATAAAAATACATGTATTTTGCTCCTTAATTGACTCTTTTACCCTTCTGGCCTTACGTATCCTTTTGCATGAGCCCGACGTTTCGTTTCATCTTCGGACGTTTCGTCTGACCGCCACCGCCCGCCCAATCCTCCTCAACACGCCGCCCATGGAGGAGACGAACTCGCCGCCACCGGATCCAGAAGGGCCGCCGGCCGCCAGAACTGCTATCCTGCATCCTCCACATTGATATGCGAGGGTACAAGACGCTCTCTGACCGGAACCTGGTCGACCTCAACCAGATGGCGGTGGAGGCCGTACGGCGCAGCCAGGGGCAGTGCCAGGCGTTCTCGGGAGAGGGCGACGGCCTCCACGACTTCATCCACTTCCTCGGAAACCACGCGCCATTGCTAAAGCGCCTGATCCTCGTCTCGTGCCGCCAAGTCTCTGGTGAAGGATTCATGCAGGCAATAACGGGATTCCCTCTGCTCGAGGAGCTCCATCTTTCAAAGTGTTGGGGTGTGCAACACCTGGGAGTGTTCGAGGTTATTGCCAAGGAGTGCCCACGCCTGAAGTACTTGAGAATTTGCGATGACCCGTATGGTTATCGCTACACAGCAGATGGGGAAGCCATGGCGATCGCCAAAATGCAGAAGCTACGTTCCTTGCAGCTCACCCACAACAGTCTCAGCAACCAAGGGCTTGAGGCAATCCTCGACAACTGCCTTCACCTGAAGTCGCTCGACATACTCGACTGCTACAATATCCACATGATTCCCGAGATGCAAGCTAGGATCAAGACAAAGAAGCTGCTCATGAATTACAGCTCGGATGGAAGATGGGACGACTTTGATGAGCCAGGCAGCCCTACGAGTGAATGTTCTACCCGTCTCAATTACTTTGGACCTAACGAACAATGGTACCGGAAGCGCTATCCCAGTGACAAGGAGGAAGCCATGGTGATCTCGGCAGTGCGCGAATTGCGCTCGCTTGAGCTCTACAGAAATGATCTCACCAGCCTGCGTGCCCACTATTAAGTGAATATGACTGAAGGGCAATACGATCATCCCATGGAAAAATACATGTATTTGAAATGAGAAAAGTGATTAAAAGGACCAAATGTCATGTAAAACAAAGTGCCAACATTTCAAGTGTCGTTTTAGCGAAGTCGACGATTGAAGTCCTATAATAGCGAAGCCCATTGTTTCGCGTCCTATAATAGCAATTTTCTCACAGTATTGGCACTGCAGCGAATTGCATCGCTTCAGTTGGAATTGCTCTCCCGCCTCTACGCTATGAGTACTTAGATGACATTTCGTGGTTGTAGCTATAAGTGGGATAACAATGAGAAGCACCTCAAGCCTGAGACCGGGCTGCTGCAACTCCGGGCCGGACTCGCGGTTTTTGCCAATCTGCGACCAGCTGTAGTGTTGCCACAGGTATGAGCACGTCAGCTCTTAGTTTCAGTACAAATTCTGTAAGCACTACTATGCTCTGGGACTCACAGCTAGGTTAGATAGTTACCCTGTCAGTTTGAGTTGAATTCCATCTGATTGACTCTGAATGCGTCCAACGAATGGTAACATGTAGTTACTTCTTAATTGTACAGAGAAAAAATAAGGTCATGCAAGCATGAAACCACGATGGATATTCTGAGGCCATTTGTTTAATTGTTCATGGTTGCAATTATGAAACTGCACTGTGATGCAAGTTTTAATTGAAACAACTGTATTTCTAGCTAATTTTTTTTTCTTTGACCTCATGATCTTCGTAGTTGGTAGACGCATCCACTCTGAAGAAAGAGGTAGCTGAAGGTGTTGACATCATGGTTGTCAGAGAGCTAACTGGAGGTAATTCTAACTGAATTATGATAAAACACGGACTGTGGTTTTTGTTTCAAGACCAATATAATATTTGATTGTTCATCCTAATGGAACTCGTGGCAGCAAAGAGTAATTCGTAATTTCACGTGCCAGGCATCTACTTCGGCAAACCCAGGGGTTTTGGAACAAATGACAAGAGGGGGGAGGGATATTGGGTTCAACATAGAAGTTTATTCAGCTTCTGAGGTTCCACCCCCCATTAGCTATTCTACCATCTCTCGCTTGACCAAAAAAAATATTATTTGAGATGCCATCCGTTCTGCCATCCAAGCCTTAATCAGAACCAGTTAGTGATGCAGGATGTGGTTCGTAGGAGAATATCTATACTTGTATCCAGAACTCTTTATTTGATATTATTCAAATTAAGAATGCATATTTGCAAAATTTTGGTCCTTGATGATTGTGAAATTCTGTGTTTCATCCCCAGATTGATCGTATCGCACGTGTTGCATTTGAAGCTGCTCGCAAGAGAGGAGGGAAACTATGCTCGGTTGACAAAGCAAATGTGCTGGAGGTGCTTTCTTTATACTTGTCTTAAATGTATATCAAAACTTGTTTTGAAGTGATATTCTGTGTGAAATGTTACTTGACCCTGTCTTTGAATTGAAATTCCATCGTTTGGTTACAAAATATAAAGAATTAGTGTTTCTATTTTTAGACTTTATTTACAGTTATTGATATGCAAATATTTTTTAGCATTATGCTGACACTAGAAAACCCTTGAAAGGTTAAATGTATATGGTTGTTGACCCTTTCTTCTTGCACATAGTTCATACGACCCTTTTGCTGCAATAATATTGTAGGCTTCCATGCTTTGGAGGAAAAGGGTGACTGCACTAGCTTCTGAATTCCCTGACATTGAGCTCTCGCACATGTATGTTGATAATGCTGCTATGCAGCTTGTTAGGAATCCTAAGCAGGTTTACTTCTCTTATTTCCCCTTTTATCTTGACTTAATTCATTGCACCCTGGCTAAGCATGAAGAAGATGTGTTGATCTTAATTTCCTTTATTGCCGCAGTTTGACACAATTCTCACAGACAATATATTTGGTGACATATTATCTGATGAAGCATCAATGATTACGGGAAGCATTGGAATGCTTCCATCTGCCAGTGTTGGTGAATCGGTAATTGAATCCCTCCAATGCTTTGGAGTTCTCTCAATTGTTTATAGATGCCATTATATTCTGCTGAAAATTTTAAAATGCAGCTGAAAGTGCTATTCTGTTTCTATGCAGGGACCTGGTCTTTTTGAACCTATTCATGGCTCTGCCCCTGATATTGCTGGACAGGTTGAGATGACTTCTATTTTGAAAAATTATCTGACACTAGATGGGTTTAAATTATGTTTGTCTGAAATTTGCTTCCCCTCCTGTTATGTGTTGAGTGCAGGACAAGGCCAGCTACACTTCTTAGTGCAGCGATGCTATTGCGATATGGCCTAGGAGAAGAAAATGCTGCGAAGAGAATTGAAGCTGCAGTTACAGAAACACTGAACCATGGGTTCCGAACTGGGGACATCTATTCTCCTGGAACAGTAAGATATATTTCTTGCAGAACCATTTTATCAATGAATTATGGGGGTGTTTGGTTTGAGGAATCACCTCATCCTTAGTTGAGATGATCCATCATGAGTTCATCCCATGAATTTTGGTGGAATGAATCCAACCTTCATGCTTTTGCATTGCTTAGTTATTTTAATGAAGTTTTATTCCTACCTTCTCTATAAAAAATGAAGTACTTTATTTTAATCAAGTACTTGGTCCTCACCTAGAGAAGGTATGAAGATCCGCATTAAACAAATCATTCAGGTTGTGCAATAGTATTTTGTTTTGGGTTCATAGTGCTTCAGGCATATTTGTTGGAGTATGAGTGTATTAGGCCCATGAGGCCCATGTATGACTAATATACATTGCTACCCTTCTAGGGTTAGCCTAATAATGAATCCACACAAGTCTAGCAATATTAACTCTTTCGTGTCTCTGTGGAATAAAGTGAGAGCTAGTTTGCAAAGGCATGGATAATTTTGGTTGATCTCATTCTGAGAGGCTTATGTTCTCAATTGGCAGACATTGGTTGGATGCAAGCAAATAGGGGAAGAAGTCTTGAAGACAGCGGAGTCACTAAAGGAAGTGGCTGCTGTAAACTGATGCATGCTGGTACTTAATTTATAACCCTACAGGATGAGATGGTTGAAGGAATTTACATTAAATTAGAAGTTGAGCCTGGTGGAAGGGAGCATTGCGTCTGGTTTATTGTTACTGTTGAATTGAAACTTTAGTGGCAGAACCGATAGCCACTTTTCATTTCTGTTGTTTGTTGGTCTCCCTGTAATTTAATTTTGTACAAGGAAGGATAAGCATATGTTCGTTCAATAAAATGGGATAGTTTATGCTAGTTGAATAAAAGATGGAGTTTTGTTTCAGACTAAATATCTTTGTGGCTATGCCTGCCTTCGATTTGTATGGGATACCCGTACATATACTGATCGTTAGACATGGCTGACCTCATTAGGCCATGTCATAGATTATCTGAAAAGTGGACCAATAATCTTGTTGGAGCTCATTATCTGTTATGCTGTTCGATACACATGACCAAAATTCTTGATGACTACACCGAAGTGACAACAACAGGGCAGAGCTGGCTAGTCTACTGTTAGCAAACTGAAGTAAACACCAACCAGGGGGAAAAAAATTCTACATCATCTACCGAAGCTGATACAATTGCTGGACTGGCAGTCTGGCAGAGGTGACAATTGCTGGACTGGCAGTCTGGCAGAGGTGATTCAGGCAGGGCAGGCAACGTCGCCAGTAGTCCTTGCAGGAGCACGCGCCATGCTCAAACCTGTGGAACCTGTTGGCGTCTCTGACTACCAGCGCCCTCCTCACGACGGCCGACAGTCCCTCGAAGAACTCGTGGCAGTCCCCGCACACCCGCAGGTTCTTGTACACCATGATTGGCTCCCCGTGCCCGTCGTCCACGCCGTTGCGCAGCAGCCACAGGCCGACGGCGAGCCTCTCGCTGTGCACCCGCAGGCTCTCCGCGCGGGACTCCTCGTCGACGTCGTGCAGCGCGAACTGCGCGTCGCCGGCGCAGTACCCGAGCTGCTCCTGCATCCTCGTCTCCACGTCCCTCAGGACGCGGCGGATGTCACCGGCCTGCGGGTGCGTCTCCTCGTCGCCGTCGAGAACCCGCTAGCCGCCATGGCCGCGTGAACCTGCGCGCCCTCGCGTGTCGCGCCAAGACCGCTGCAGGCTTTGAGCAGGCTGGCAAAAGTGAACTCGTCAGGCTGATGCTGATGCTGATCCTCATGTCGCCGCCGCCGCCGCCGCCGCATCTCCCGGAACACGAGCAGCGCGTCCCTGCCGTGGCCGGCGTGCGCGTACCCGGAGATCATGGCGTTCCAGGTGGCGAGGCCCCTCCCGAGCCCGGCGCCGTCGAACACTCGCCGCGCGTCGCCGATCCTCCCGCCCTTGGAGTAGACGAGCACCAGCGAGCTGGCGACGACGTCGTGCTCCTCGTATCCTGCCCGTGGATCCCGACGCCCGCGCCCGTGTCGCCGGCGACGCAACAGGCCTTGAGGGTCGCGGAGAGCGTGTACTCGTTCGGCGCTGCCTCGGAGGCGGCCCGCATCTCGCCGAGCAGCCCGAGGCACCCCGTGGCGTCGCCGTGCTGCAGGAAGCCCACCATGAGGGCCGTCCACGAGACCACGTTCCTGTCGCGCATTCCGCCGAACACCTCGCCTGCCATGTCCAGCTCCCCGCACTTGGCGTACATGTCGATCAGGTTGTTGCCCAGCATGGTGTCCGATCCGAACCCCAGCTTCGTCAGGGCGCCGTGCAGCTGGACGCCGCCGCGGAGCGAAGAGCTTTTTGCGCTTGCCCTGAGGAGGTCGGCGATCATCTTCCGCCGCTCCATTGGATTCGTGGGAAATGCCACTGCTCAACTCATGCAGGTATCAGCTCTGCTTGGTTTCAGGTCGGAATACTGAGAGCAAGGTGGTGAATCTAAGACAAAAATGATAGTGGGCGAGGGTGTGCATGGAGAGCTGCGCACAGCAAGAGAGAGTATAATTTCCCGCACTGCTGCTTAAACAGCAAAAATACTCGATCTCTCTCTGAAGGGGGGAAAAAAAGGAGAGTTCGCAACATGGCTTTGGAGAAGGAAATGGGCGTGAACAGAAAATTCATCACAAAAATCGTAAAAGGCACATGGATTCCTTGAGATCTTTGTTTCGTGTACAGCAACAAGTTATGAACGCTTTACAACAGAGTCAGACTAGTGCCCACGTCAAGTACAACAAACTTCAGGCATCTTGATGTTCAGATGATGTTCCTCTTCAGGCCTGTTCGGTACCCATCTTTTGCAGCTGCAGCAGCGTCTTTGGCTGTATCTTCCTCTCACAAAAGCACTGTACATACAGCAGCAGTGGCTGCGAGCTAGCTCAAGCGAAGCCTTGGCACTCAAACTCTGAAGAAGCGGTGGTTGAAGAACTCTTGGAAGGACAGCCGCTTCACTGAAACGTTTGCCCTAGATTATTAGCTACTGTCACCAAGGTATCAGGTGGCTGGATGAAAGTGGTATGAAGTTAACAGGTGACAGACCTGGATTAGTGCATAGTAGCCTGGTGCATATATCAACACAATCGGGATGCAAGGTGGACGCCAGTGGTTCTGAGAACGGGAGAGATGTGCTTCTGTTGATGCACTGAAGCAGCTGAAGAGAGAGACGAAAACAAAGATGGCCATCAGCAGAAATGTTGAATTCAGAATTTCAGATAAGGGTTGCCTCGGACAAGGAAAGAGGGCAGCCACCTGTACATTGCTTCTGCCACGGAATGGCGGGTAGCCATTCAAGAGCTCAAATAGGATCACGCCGATACTCCACATGTCTACCTGCGCATAACAGAGGTTCAGATAGATTTCTCGTACTGGTAGCAACTTTCTGTCCGTTTGAGCACACATGCCATTCTCACCTTGTCATCATACTTTTGAAATAGCATCACTTCTGGAGCCATGTACAAACAAGAACCACAAGCTGTGTCTGCATACTCCCCAGGTCCAAGAACCCTGCAGGTAAAATAGCAAATAACAGGTAGTATAGGTTACATCTGGATCTCATTCTGCTCACGATACCGTTGTAAATAAATGCTGATTCAGTTTTTTTTTTTTAATTTCATTTTATGCTCGACCGCTTCATCAGGTAGGTATCTGAAAATGGGGATAAATGTGCACCTTGCGAGGCCAAAATCAGATATCTTGAGGATCGCATCGCTACCGCGAGAAGAGAGCAGGATATTCTGCAACATTGGATGGATAGCCACAGCATATCAGTTACTTGAACTGTTGATCCAATTGAGTCACAAACAGAACCAAGGATTCAGTCCCTGGACCTGAGGTTTCAAGTCCCGGTGGACAACATGGTGCCGGCGCAGCACTTGTAAGCCAGCTCCTGCCACAGGGAGCAAGCACCATTTCTCACACATCACCATCACATCTCCAGTCGTGAAGGTATTGCAGGCATGCTACTTCTACCACCACCACTACTACTGGCCAATTACCAATTTGAGTGAAACAGTCATGGATCAAGAACTGAATTACCAATTTGTTTCATAAAATTTCTGGCCACGCGCTCGTCAACGCTCCCATTGCGCCGGATGAAGGCCGCCAAGTCCCCTCCCTCGCAGAGCTCCAGGACGAGGTAAAGGCAGCTCTGGGTCTGGCAGGCACCCAAATGGAGGAGAGCTAGGGTCACTGGAAGAAGTCGGTCGGTAGGGAGAGCCAGAGAAAAGGAGATGGCGTCGCACCTGGACGACGTCGATGAGGCGGATGATGTTGGGGTGGCTTACGGCGGCGAGGAAGCGAACCTCGCAGTCGAGGCTGTCGCGGAGGCGAGCAGGGAGGCCGGCGAGCCGCACCTGCTTCACTGCCACGGGCGCGCCGGTGGACCGCGAGACCGCTCGCCACACGGCCGTGGACGGCGGACGGCCGCCCAGGCGCTCCCGTAGCTCGTAGTCACCCACCGTCGCCAGCGCCTCCGCCTCCGTCGTGTCGCCGGTGATCCCCATCGCGAAAGGACGAGAAGGACGAGAGAGCATGGCAAATCCGTTAATAAGATAACGGCCCATAATCGTTATTATGACCCTTTCTCCTACTACATTACGATTTACCCTAGTAGAGCAAACAGACCGGCCCAACTCGACCAGTCCCAAGAATGTAATGGCCCATGGAACAAAACCTCAGAGCTACTTCAGGACTCAAGATTACCTTCAAAAAAAAAAAAAAAAAAAACTCTGCCAGGAGATAGAATCATAGAAGAGGATTCAGGATCCTCTCAAAAAAAAAAAAAAAGAGGATTCAGGAAATCATAGAACAGGATTCAGGAACCAATGCACGGTTCATGCAAAACAGTCAAAACATACATTTTTCTTGTCTTGTATACAAAAACTAAAGGGCATTTTATGCTGCTTGCAAGCTATTTTATACAAGGATACCGTTTGTCTTTGCTTGTCCTGCTGTATTGTCGACACTTCTGCCGTATATACTATTTCTGGGAGTAATAGAAACACACACCAATCGGGCAGAAAAAAAAACATAGGCAAGCACCCCACATATACATATGTGACAATTGTACAAAAAGCATTCTACACTAGCAGCATCTTCGTAGCAACCAACCGCCGTATCGTAGCCGCAGCGTAGTAGCCTCAGAATCTTGGATGATGATAACCAAGCTCCTCTAAGCTGTTGCACAAGCTTACTGACAACCTTGTTATTCTATCTATCTATCTCTGTGATTTTTTGTGCACCTTTGCCTTAATGTTTGTTGATTCCCTTTGAGGCCTAAAATGTATGCAGATTTTCATCAGGCAAACATCACAGCACAAGCCATTTATCGCCATTGTGCAGCATAGCAAACGTGCGGCTAGGGGAGAAGAATGTCAATCTTACCTGATGATGCTGTAACATGCCTTCCAGCTCTACAGTGATCTCTGAGAAGGAGGGGCGCACGTTAGGATTTTCATCCCAGCACTGCTGAATCAGTTTAGACAGTTGCGGATGGACCCATGACGGGATCTCCAACCGCATTCCCTGATATATGTAAACAAGGGGAAAAGCTTAGTCTATTGCTGTGATCCTCATCTTTATGCCTCTACCTCCAGCTAACAGCTGAAGTCACGGATCATTGTGAAATTACCTGCCTTACTCCCAGCGCAGCTTGCAAGGGTGTCAGATTTTCGTATGGTATCTATACACATATATGACACAAGTAAGGCTAAGTGTTACCTTTCGTTCAAAAAGAAAAAGCTAAGTGTTACCTTCAACCCAATTATAAGATGCTCATATAACTCAAAACAAGTCAAAGCGCGCTCGATTCGGCACCATTATTTACCTTTGAAGTGACCAGCTCCCACAGAACAACAGCAAAGCTGAAGATGTCTGCCCTGTGATCATACGGCTTATGGTTTATTACCTGGTAAGACACGCAACTCTAATAAGCTTGGTGCAGATATAAAATATCTCTACTTGCACAGAAAGAACTCCCTTCGGAGACAAGTGTGGCAAGTAAAACTAATCTTCCTATGTCTTGTATATCTTGACAGATGAAATATAGCAAGGTAAGTTGCGTTCAAAAATATATATAGCAAGGTAAAACATAACTGTGTACACGTGTATACAGCCACGTTTCTGTGTCTGGTAAGACGTGCTTCTCATGAGCACACTAGACAACTCGAAGAAATCTACACACCTCAGGCGCCATCCATCTGTAGGTACCAGTTTCAGCAGTCATGTCTCCCTCTTGAGATGGATTCCTTGAGACTCCAAAGTCTGCAATCTTCACAACCTATTTTCCAAGACCATCCAATGCTTGATGAACCTTGAATTAGTAATTCGTAAATACAGACACAAAACAATATGCATACATAATCAGAGCCCATCAGCAAATTGGCAGTCTTCAAGTCTCGATGGATGATGTTATTTTGGTGCAAATAATCCATTCCCTTGGAGATGCCAATAGCAATCCTAAGAACCGTTGCGAGATCCAAAGTGTTTTTTAGCTTGTGAAGAAAATCATATAGATTACCTCCAGGCATATACTCTGAAAGGGACAACCAATAGCAAAATCAAAATATGATCTCATGAATCAGCTCATGATAAATGGTTGTCTGAATAAAACTCTGGACAGAAGAAACTACATTCAACTATCTAACTAGCTCAAAAACTAGATATGTAAGCACATAAGTCATGCCATAGGGGCTTATTTGGGATTCAAATCATGACGGTGGCAAAAGCACTTGGAGTTGGCAGATACAAATTACAGAAATGATGTGTATGTTCAACAAGAAGTGAAATTTCGTTAGGTAACTGGCTTCATGCAAGTTTCATTTACTAATGCCTAGAAGTTTTTTTAAAATGGTTCCAAGATGTCACTAAATTTCTAATATAAGTAGCAACTGTGTCAAAGAACAATTGCCACCTACACTAGCATGATAGGATGATACAGGAACAGAGAAGTAGCAATACACATGACTAAACTGTTCATCACTCATATTCTTATCATCATCCAGGACCAGGCTACTTGAAACATATGAAAAATAGTTTCCGTTTGCAATATAGCCAAAAAAAGGAAATCGACAATGTCTATCTACAACAAAATAAAAACACAAACAATTTTCTTCTACTGCTAGTTAATCAAGTTAAAAGCAGAAAACTCTAATCTCAAGTTAAAAATAGTTGTTCAACAGTACATATCATACAGTCAAATTCAGTACAGTATGGATATAATAGATCCCTTTCACTAAAAAAGCCAGGTCGAGCCCACCATTAACAAAGGGACCATTTTTAGGTGATATTCAAGTTGTAGCATGAACATAAAATTTAAATTCACGAAACTGGCCTCCATAAAAATCAAACTAATAATAAAACTCTAATTTCAAGACTTATTACACATACATAAAAGTAACTAGCAACTCATAGTCTGCTGAAGGGTGGGCACTTGGGGAAGAGACCTGTTGATCCGATAGAATAAGGCATCAAGAATAATCTTATAGCGCAATTATTATACTATGTTTTGGCTGTAAGACATAATCTGCTGATCCCCAAATCTCTCTTTGCTGCAGATTAGGAATTGGAACTAGTCAGCATGGCTGTCCATTCTCTAGTGCTGTAACTTGTAAGGCAATAGGCCATCTAGTACTAGTAGTTGGTAGAAACTACATCAGCCATGTTGGTAGTGGGCTGATCTAAGCAAGGTACTAGGAGTAGTTAGGGCTGTACTCAGCCATACTCATGTGTACCTTATAGTTGGTACACGAGTTGTATATATACTACAACAACAACAACAACAACAACAACAAAGCATTTAAGTCCCAAACAAGTTGGGGTAGGCTAGAGTTGAAACCCATCAGAAGCAATCAAGGTTTAGGCACGTGAATAGTTGTCTTCCAAGCACTCCTATCTAAGGCTAAATCTTTGGGTATATTTCATCCTTTCAAGTCTCCTTTTATTGCCTCTACCCAAGTCAATTTCGGTCTTTCTCTGCCTCTCTTCACGTTACTATCCTGGCTTAGGATTCCACTACGCACCGGTGCCTCTAGAGGTCTCCGTTGCACATGTCCAAACCATCTCAACCGGTGTTGGACAAGCTTTTCTTCAATTGGCGCTACCCCTAATCTATCACGTATATCATCGTTCCGACCTCGATCCCTTCTTGTATGACCGCAAATCCAACGCAACATACGCATTTCCACGACACTTAGCTGTTGAACATGTCGTCTTTTCGTAGGCCAACATTCTGCACCATACAACATAGCAGGTCCAATCGCCGTCCTATAAAACTTGCCTTTTAGCTTCTGTGGTACCCTTTTGTCACATAGGACACCAGACGCTTGCCGTCACTTCATCCACACTGCTTTGATTTTATAGCTAACATCTTCATCAATATCCCCGTCCCTCTGTAGTATTGATCCTAAATATTGAAAAGTATCATTCCTAGGCACTACTTGACATTCCAAACTAACATCTTCCTCCTCCCGAGTAGTAGTGCCGAAGTCACATCTCATATACTCGGTTTTAGTTCTACTGAGTCTAAAACCTTTGGACTCCAAAGTCTTCCGCCATAACTCCAGTTTCTGATTCACTCATGTCTGTCTTTCATCAACTAGCACTACATCGTCCGCGAAAAGCATACACCAAGAGATGTCCCCTTGTATGTCCCTTGTGACCTCATCCATCACTAAAACAAACAAATAAGGGCTCAAAGCTGACCCTTGATGTAGTTCTATCCTAATCGGGAAGTCATCCGTGTCTCCATCACTTGTTCGAACTCTCGTCACAATATTGTTGTACGTTCTTAATGAGCCCGACGTACTTCGTTGGGACTTTATGTTTGTCCAAAGCCCACCACATAACATTCCTTGGTATTTTATCATAAGCCTTCTCCAAGTCAATAAAAACCATGTGTAGGTCCTTCTTCTTCTCCCTATACCGCTCCATAACTTGTCTTATTAAGAAAATGGCTGCCATGGTTGACCTTCCGGGCATGAAACCAAATTGGTTCATAGAGACCCGCGTTATTGCTCTCAAGCGATGCTCGATAACTCTCTCCCATAGCTTCATAGTATGGCTTATCAACTTAATTCCCCGGTAATTAGTACAACTTTGAATATCCCCTTTATTCTTGTAGATCGGTACCGATATACTTCTCCTCCACTCATCAGGCATCTTGTTCGATCGAAAAATACAAATTGTTCAATGGTGAGAATATGGACACAACCTTTCAGTTGGATGACTCTTTTGATGACACCAATAGGCGCTTTGTGCGGAGAATCCAATAATCTGAGGTTAGAGAGGCGTTGAAAAGAATGAAAGGAGGTAAGGCGATGGGACCGGATGGTATCCCAATCGAGGTGTAGAGATGCCTCGGGGACATAGCTATAGTATGGCTAACCAAGCTGTTCAACCATATTTTTCGATCGAACAAGATGCCTGATGAGTAAAAAAGTATATTGTTACCGATCTACAAGAATAAAGGGGATATTCAAAGTTGTATATATACTACATCTAAGGCAATTCAAAAGGGCAATTCAGTTGCCACATTCAGAGTTTCAGAGCTGCAGCTCCGCAGAGTGTGTGTTGTGCTCACCCCTTCTTCTACCTCTAGCCAAAGTTAGTGTGTGGGTGTGCTGGTAAGCTAGCTGCTTACTTGTGCAGGGATCCCAGGGACAAACAAGATGGTGCGCGGGCTGCCTCACATCGAGCACACGCAGCGTAGCTGTGTGACACCGCTTACCGATCTACGCCAGCCTGGTGGCGGAAGAGGAGTCTGCGCTTTCCAAAAGACAAATGGGATCAGGCGAGGCGGACCACACGACAGGTTCAGGCCCTCACCAAGCTGGTCCATGGCGACCTCTGCGGGCCGATCACGCCGGTGACACACGGCGGGTGCAAGTACTTCATCTTGCTCGTGGACGACTGCAGCCGGTACATGTGGCTGCAGCTCTTGACGAGCAAGGGCGAGGCGGCGGAGGTGATCAAGGCGTTCAAGGCGCGCGCGGAGGCTGAGTCCGAAAAGAAGCTGCGCGTGCTGAGGACGGACCGCGGCGGCGAGTTCACGTCTGTGGAGATCGCCGCGTACTGCGCAGATCAAGGGGTGGTGCGCCACCACACCGCGCCGTACTCGCCGCAGCAGAATGGCGTGGTGGAGCGGCGGAATCACACGGTGGTCAGCATGGCGCGATCGATGATGAAGGCCAAAAAGATGCCGACGGAGTTCCGGGGCGAGGCGGTGACCACGACGGTGTTCATCCTCAACCGCACACCCACCAAGGCCCTGAAGGGTAAGACGCCGTTCGAGGCGTGGCATGGGCACAAGTCGAACGTATCCTTCCTCAGAACGTTCGGGTGCGTCAGCCATGTGAAGAACATGAAGCCATTCCTCATCAAGTTGGAGGATAGGAGCACACCCATGGTGCTCCTGAGCTACGAGGAGGGCAGCAAGGCCTATCAGCTCTATGACCCCAAGGGAGGTAAGGTGGTGATCTCCAGGGACGTGGTGTTCGACAAAATGGCGACCTGGGACTATGAGGGTCTGGGCACGGGGGAAGACCGCGGAGTCAGCAGCACTTTCGCCATCGAGCACCTGGTGATTCAAGGAGGAGATGCAGGGGCTGAGGAGCCAGCTCCGGCAGCTGTGGTGGCAGATGAGGAGCCGCCAAGTCCGGCCATGGCGGGCACGGGCGAACAGACTCCACCAACAGCCGCGCACACGCCTCCACCACAGTCCCCTGCGACGGCAGGACAGGGGACGCCTCCGCTTGAGTTCGCTTCTCTGCCCACCGACATTGACGAGTACGTGGACGCTTTCCACGATGGCGAGGAGGTCTGTTTCCGCCGGGTGGATATCATCGTCGGCGACGGGGGAGCTCCTGGGCTGGCCAGTCGAATCCTCGACGACCCAGAGCTGCTTCTCGTCAGCGCGGAGGAGCCGCCCACGTTCGCGGTGGCGGAACACGACGCAAATTGGCGACGGGCGATGCTGAAGGAGAGATGAAAGCGATCGAGGACAACGGGACTTGGGAGCTGGTTGATCCGCCGGTGGGCTGCCAGCCGATTGGGCTCAAATGGGTCTACAAGGTGAAGTGGGACGAGCGCGGCGCCATCGTCAAGTACAAGGCACGGCTCGTCGCCCGCGGCTTCGTCCAGCACGAGGGCATCGACTTCAAGGAGGTCTTTGCTCCGGTGGCGCGTATGGAGTCGGTCCGCCTGCTGCTGGCCATGGCAGCGGTGAAGGACTGGCGAGTCCACCACCTCGACGTCAAGTCGGCTTTCCTCAACGACGAGCTCGCGGAGACGGTCTTCGTCAAGCAAGCTCCGGGCTTCGCCGACAAAGGGGCAGAGCACATGGTGCTCAGGCTGCGCAAGGCGATCTATGGACTCAAGCAGGCCCCGCGGGCGTGGAACGCCAAGCTCGACGCCACTTTGGGCGAGCTCAGGTTCACCCGCTGCGCCACGGAACACGCGCTCTACACGCGGCGACGGGGGAAGGAGGAGCTCATCGTCGACGTGTACGTGGATGACTTGATCGTCACCGGGGCGCGTGCGGAGGACATCGACAGCTTCAAGCGCGAGATGGCGGCTCGTTTCAGGATGAGCGATCTTGGCGCGCTCTCCTACTACCTCGGCATCGAGGTGAGGCAGGGGAAGGAGTGCATCTCCCGGGGCCAACGCGCCTACGCGGAAAAGCTGCTAGAGCGCGGCGGCATGGCGGAGTGCAAGTCGTGCGCAACTCCGATGGAAGAGCGGCTGAAGCTGTCCAGGCACAACGTCGCGGCGAAGGTGGACGCGACGCGCCACCGGAGCATCGGCGGCGGTTTGCGCTACCTCACGCACACTCGGCCGGACATCGCGTTCGCGGTCGGGTACGTCAACCGGTTCATGGAGGACCCACGGGAGGATCACTGGACGGCGGTGAAGAGGCTCTGCGCTACGTCAAGGGGACGCTCGATCAAGCGATCATCTTCCCCTAGCACGGCGGCAAGGGTGGGTTGCGCCTCACGGTCTTCAGTGAGGCACCCCCCAAAACAGAGGAAGGTGAGCCGGAGCTCACGGTTTTCCACGATGCAGACATGGAGGGTGACATTGACGGGCGACGGAGCACCTCTGGTGTGCTCGTCTTCCTTGGTGCGGCCCCCATTGCTTGGCAGTCGCTGAAGCAAAAGATCTTGGCGCTGTCGACATGTGAGGCAGAGTATGTCGCAGCGGCCACGGCGGCGTGCCAGGCAGTCTAGCTGCGCCGGCTGCTGGGCGAGCTGACCAGCGAGGAAGCTCACCCGCCAGCTCTGATGGTGGATAATCAGCCCACCATCGCCCTCGCCAAGAACCCTGTCCTCCACGACCGGAGCAAGCACATCGACATTAAGTTCCACTTCCTCTGGGACTGTGTCGATGGAGGGCAGATCGTCATCGAGTTCGTCGAGATCCGCAGACAGCTCGCTGACATCCTCACCAAGTCACTCGGGCGCCTGCGGTTCATGGAGCTGAGAAAGATGATTGGCATGGATGAGGTCAAGGCTTCAGGTTAGCAGCAGAATTATGAGAAGAATTGTAAGACATAATCTGCCGCTCCCCAAATCTCTCTTTGCTGCAGATTAGGAATTGGAACTGGTTATCATGGCTGTACATTCTCTAGTGTTGTAGCTTGTAAGGCAATAGGCCATCTAGTACTAGTAGTTGGTAGAAACTACATCAGCCATGTTGGTAGTGGGCTGATCTAAGCAAGGTACTAGGAGTAGTTGGGGCTGTACTCAGCCATACTCATGTGTACCTTATAGTTGGTACATGAGTTGTATATATACTACATCTAAGGCAATGCAAAAGGGCAGTTCAGTTGCCACATTCAGAGTTTCAGAGCTGCAGCTGCAGCTCGGCAGAGTGTGTGTGTGCTGTGCTCACCCCTTCTTCTACCTCTAGCCAAAGTGAGTGTGTGGGTGTGTTGGTAAGCTAGCTGCTTACCTGTGCAGGGATCCCAGGGACCAACATTGGCATGGACCAGACATTCCATATATGTTCATGTAGTAAGAAAAATGTAATGATCCCAACCACCCTAAACTCTCCTTCAAGTTCTTATGAAAATGATAGGAGACAGGAGTTATCCCTACATCTTTAAGGCTAAAGGAACCGACAGTGAATGGTTTAAGCACGTTTTTGAAACGAGGCCAGCCCCATTTCCATTAATCGCATAACGAAAATATAGATGTTTGAAGCGAGAACAGCATTCAGAAGAGGGGATACAGACCACGGTTATCTATCAACCTCAACTAAGATAAATGGTCAAGAACATGGTGGGTTAGACCTAAGAATGTGCATTACTAAATTTAGCCACTAACGTTACTCATTCTGCAAATATGCCCAAGAACAAGAGCATCAGTGACACTGATAGCTACACAAAGCAGAAATTACGATTAGCAGTAATATTACTGTCACCTGTTACAATGACATATTTTCTCTGCTTTGTGCATGCCCCGCAGAATCGAACAACATTATCATGATTAACACTCCTGGACACAAACTAAGCCGTTAGAATTATTTGAATTAGATGATTCAATATCCTATTTTTTACCACAGTGACTTAATAAGAATATGCTTACTTTAGAATAAATATTTCTTGTAAAAACTCCACCTTTGATGAGTCATTAACATGTTCGGTTCTGAGGAACTTTACTGCGACATCCATACCTTGATAAGTTCCTCGATACCTGCAGACAAGAGCACAGATACAGCCTCTAGGTTACTGAACTATCTTGAGGTCTTGCCCTGTGTATATATACAAAATTATGCAGCGAGATTCTCGAGTCCATGAAATAAGACCATTCCTAGCTAATGTTTATTGACAGCGTCCCCATATCAAACCATTTACTTAATGTGTAATGCATGAAAAGGGCATGGAACAGGCACTGGCAGTTAAATTGCTGATAGCGCACCAAACAATTGGCATCCTAAATCATAGTATTCCTTGGAAGTGTTACTTTTCTCTTACAAGTCCCCGGAAGATCCAGATGCAATCTTCTCCCCAATCTGCAGGAAACTCCTGTCAACATTTGAATCACCAATCTGCTCTTGCAGTTCCAGTATTCTTTGCGAGGCTGCAGAATTTGTTGGGTTTGATAATGAGGCCTACATAATACATGAGATTGAAGTCTATAAGGAAAATGTTAAGCTAATGTGTTCATTCTTTTGTCTTATATTGTTGGGTAGAAGTACACAAGACGCTGCATTGGTGTGAAAAGGTAAATTACAAGTATGTGGGCACATGCATATTTCAAGCATTTATGCAAAATCAATGAAGAAAGAAAGCATCATACATGATTTCGTGCCGCTGTCTCCTTGAGAATCTGTAGCAAAGTATCTGTCTCCTGCAAACAGCATCACACAGTGTTTTCACTCAAGAAATCCATGCAAGCAAGAGTATTTAACATAAAGCCCTGATGTTTGACTCAAAAATTGAATCTAGATTTATAACCATGATGCTTGATAGCTCAACTAATATGCCAGTTATCAACTTATCAAGCATAAAGTCAGAATGATTTTGGGTGCTTTGCCATGCAACGTACAAATCCCAAGTTGATGAATATTTAGCATGAAAACCTTAACTGCATAACTGTCATGAGTAGTCAGCTAGGCCTTATGGGTCCGGTCAGTAATTATGAACACGAATCTGTATGTCCCTAACCTAAGCAGCCCGACATCATCCAGCTGGTAGGCGGCAGCCGGACCACAAGGGTAGGGGTAGGAGAAGGTGACTGTGATAATAGATCTATTTCATCTTGCTTTCTTTTAATTGATACATCTCCTCTGCTTACATAGACTTAATTGACACCTACATCTAATCTTATCCCTAACCCTAAACCTAATGGGCCTCTAATACTACTGACCCAGCCCATAAGGCCTAGCTGACTGCCCATGACAATAACTTTGTAGGTTAACATAAATTATTTATATATTCTGCAAACTATTACCTAAGAGGGACTCCTCCCCTTTTGCACCTTTTAAGAACAAAGGTGTTCGGAATAAGATGCCTTGTTCTGATATTACAGATGCATGTTGCTAAGATTTGCTAGGGACAGTGGCTAGGGAATATAGTCTGTATAACTGTATTATTTCCCACTTGACATTATAGGCAGTTAGTTTGTCTTATTCAAAGTCTCTTCTCTCCATAAAAAAGGGAGAATATTCAGCCGCAAGTTTCAACAGAACTCCGTTCCTACCTGAAGATCTGAAGATACCAAGCTTGGAAGATTTATTTATTTCTTTGGTTCTGTTAAAAGTGTGTTTTCCTGATTCCTTCTGGGATCGCTTTTCTTTCTTCTGTTTCCTGCTCCCCCCCAACCCCCCAACCCCCCAAAAAAAGGTCTACAAGGATGTCCTTGTTCTTGTGTAATTATGTTTTCAACAATAACGTTCAAGCGCCTAAATGGTTGCTGTAGTTTCTTTCAGGGAAAAACAGTTCCTTCAGAACATGCTCCAAATATACATCGATAAACAAGCTAGCACTACACAACCATTCTCTGGTAGTTTACCTCTGTATCCCAGCCATCAACAACAAATACATCCAAACAAAAGCCATCAGTTGTTGAGAAGACATGAGCTTCACGGATGTTCAGTCCAACTTCAGACAGCAAAGCAGATAGCTACAAACAATAGTGTGAACAAACATTGAAACTCAAGTAACAAGGTATGTCATTGATCTTAAGTCCGAATGCAAGCCACATAAATAACACAAGGATTGGTGTTCTAAGTCTTACCTGAGCGAGGAGCTTTGGCTTGTCAACGGTAGAAAAAATAATTTCATGAATATGGAGGATTTCTACGTCTCTCCTGTGGATATCTGAGTGTCAGTTTCAGAAGTTCCATGAGCCAGCCAAAAACTCATAAGTCAAGCAATTTAAGAGAATGATTTCCCGAAAAGAAGTTCCAAATACTGCACATTGGTTGGAAATAGCAGAAAGAGGTAAAATATAAAAGCGGGTGAGGAAGACAAGGCCAATCATTTCATAGAAATATGCTGAATTGCTAGTGTCTAACCTATAAGTTTATGTTCATGATCAACAAAATTTTATAATCAAAACATGTCACAGCTAGCCCTGGTTACAGATCACTGCACTGATGGTGACTTTACAGATAAAAGGTACTCCTTTCACATCAAAGAAGCTTGCTGCAATAACTCTTCCATTGACCTACGGTTGCAGACAGCCCCGTTCACAACAAATGGAAGCATGGTAGAAACACTCTACCATTTTACACCAATCAAGCATATCGTATTATTATTCTAAACCAAAGGCAGGAGCTCTGCCATGGTCCGTGGATATATCATTCAGGCTTTATAAATCAAAATTGAAGCATGAGCTTTTGCGGGTGAAATCATGGTAGAGGTGGTTGTTTCAGACCAAGTCATATGGCTGAACTCAACAAGATAACGATGCAGTACAACGTTTCATTGATACAGCTCCCGTTAAACTGAGGTAGACACAGACCTCGAAGAACTAGCCTCAGAGTCATCCACAACTTTTTTTCCAGTTAAACTGAGGTCCTCCATCCCTTCGCATGGCTCAAATTCTGTAGGCTCAGATCCTCTGTGCAGTATATATAAGCATACGTTTTAGCAAGCAAGATATAACACCATAAAAATACTCATACAAGGCACAACTTGTTTTCTTCAAAAATGCTCATCGAAACTACAGACAACAAAAGGTTGATTTAAGTTGCACCAAAGGTAAAATTATCAAGGATTTCATCATGGCGTTGCAAAGTGCGTGGGTCATAGCCTGTACCTCAAAGTGGAAGCCTGAGAACCCCCACAATTACCGTTTTCACTCGTAGAGAGGCCCTGAGTGTTATCCTGTGAATCCACCGATGCCGGGGCGCACTGTTCATATAGAGGCAGAACAAAAATTTCAGTCACTTCTAAAAAAATACGATCCCTGTATGTGCTGGCGCGGTTTCGCTTTTTAGTGAGAAGACGAAGCACAGTGGAGAGGCGATCGAGCAGTGGTGCTCACGTGCAAGAAGCGGACATGGAAGATGGGGCGCTTTTCAGGGTCGGCGCACTCGTTGAGAATCCTCCGGTGCAGCAGCACGTCCTCTGCCTTGTCGACGCTCACATCGATGGCGTAGCTGCACATACATACTAGTACGTATCAAGTGGTGATTAGGAGGAAAGCGAAGGCGAAGGAAGCAGGCGAGGAGAGAGTCGACCGACGGCGCTGACCTCAGCGGCAGGCGGTCGAAGTGGCGATGGAGCAGTTCGAGGAAGGCCGGCGGGTCCGCGACGACCTCCGGGTTTCCCTTCTCCAGGAGACGGTCGAAGACCTCCTTCGCGATGTCAGTGTAACCGTGCGAGCCGCCGCCGCCGGTGGCGGCCGAGGAGGAGGCTCCTCGGTCGGCGGCGGCGGGGGGGCAGGTGCTCTCGTCGCCCACGCCCTCGGTGTCATCGTCCATCTCCCGCGGCGCCGACGTGCCGCCTCCACCTACGGCTCGGCCATAGCGACGCCCGCCGGCCGCGTCCTAGGATTTAGCACCGGGGCGGGGGACGCAGCGGCAGCGGCGGCGGCGAGATAGATAGGAAAGAGAGAGCCCGATGCCGACCGGCGAAATGGGCGGGCGGGGGGGAATCCGAGGGGATCTTTTTGGCAGAATCTTGTGGAGGAAGGCGCTCGCCCCATATTTATAGAAGCGAAGTGACGCAGCGCGGGAGGCAGGGGCAGTTTGTTACTTGCCGGTGACGTCGCCGGCGAGACGGGAGCCGGCGCGCCGTGGTGGGTGTCGTAGGAAGGGAACGGAGGGAATTGGCTTGGTTTTTGGCGCCTGCTGCTTGTCCTGGTTCGTGGCGATCGAATCCGCTGCGCCGGGAGTGGTGCTGCCGGCGGCGGAGGGAGGCCCCCCTTCTATCCGATTCGAAAACTGCTTTCCGGCTAGCCGGAGAGGCGGAGGGGACCCTCGCCCAGAGCGAGCATGATGGATGGACGGCGGAGATGCGGCACCGGAGGATCGGGCGGCGGCTGGTCTCCGCGGAGGATCAGGCCGGTGTGGTGGGGACGGGGAGCTTTCTTCCTTTCCGCGACTACCGGAGATTGGACAGACCATGAGAATCCGTGGGGCCCGCCGCGCTTCTTTACCGCGGTCGCGTGAGTTGGGCCCCACAGTCCAGTGGCATGTACTTCCTGCTCGTTGGGCCTTTGTTTTCGTTTACTTGTCATCGAACTTTTAATGTAGCAATTTTGATCATATGTTTTTTTCTGTAAAAGATTTTTAGATATATCAAGTTTTCACATATATGATTCTTTATTGAACATACTTCATTAGTGTTATATACATTGAAGTATCTAAGATTTTTTAGAAGAAAAAACAGATGGTCAAATTTGCTACAGTAAAAAATTGGTGACAAAGTAAATAAAAACGGATGGAAGTACTATCGTGAGCCCCTAGCGGTGATTCGTCAAGTCAAGCCTTTTGTGTTTTTCTCACTACGACTGTAAAAATGTAGTAATTCTCGTTTTTAATTATTCCATCAAGGCATCAATTATAGTTTAACTAAAAATATTACTCCCTCCTCCATACTGATAATTCAAGTCGTTTTTGACAGCGACACGATCTCCAAAGCATAACTTTAACTTCCTATTTTTATAAAAATGTTTATTGGAAAGTGATATATGTATATTTTTATAAAAGTACTTTTCAAGACAAATCTATTCACATTGTTTTCATATCTTTAAACTCAACAACTTAAAAGTTATTCATAATTTATATTCCTAATATTTGACCAAAATCTTGTCCAAAACGACTTGAATTACCAATATAGATGGAGTAATATTTATTATACGTATGATATTGTTAGATTAATTAGTTACTCCATTACATAATAAATCTCTTTAGAGATATAGCTATATTACTAATTCCTATAAATTTAATTAAATTTAAGAAATGTTGACTTAATCTAAGCCTAGGGATACATTTTTTAGGATGAACATAATTACTACTTGTCGGGTATCAGTATTAGGGATACCCGAAGAAGGGATCTGAGGACCGCGGACGACAAACTCGCCTAGATAATCGAGAACGTATTTCAGTCTCGACCGACCCCGAATGGACGGATTCCGCCTCGCCAGACCTCTCGGGTACGAGCTTCGTGTCGCCCGACCCCGAGGGCACGGGCTCCATCTTGCCCAACGGGGATCCAAACCGCCTCCAACCACTACGGGTCTGAGGGTATGACCCCGAGGTCAAATTTCTGACACCGGGAGGGAAGCAGGCACGTCTCGACGTGACCCATGGCCACGTCAGGCCACGCCTGGGGGTTCACATCACCAACAGTGACGGGTGCGTAGTCGCTATGCTGCCTAATCCTCGTACGGCCGCTGACAGGCACGTCGGTTCACCACACCGTCCGCTAGGGACGGGATGGGACGCCACGACCAGCTGATGACGTCGAGGCATGGCACCAGTGGTGAACAAGAGCCCAACGTCATCATCTACAGCGTCGGTGGGACCCACATGAAGGAGAAGGAGGACAGCCGCCCCAGAGGCCTTCTTCTCCCTCGCTTTTCCCCTTTTCTCTCTCTGTAACATGTGCCTTCCCCTTTATCTATAAAAGGGGACGCAGGACGCCCCCTGAGGAGAAGAGAGGGCCGAACGAGCTCAACAAGACTCAACTCCACTCGATCTTTTCACCAGAGACTTGGAAACTTCTCCCTCTCTCGCCCATTTATAATCCCTACTACAAACTAGTGTCGGTAACACGAGCAGCAGCAGACTGGACGTAGAGATATTCCACCGAACCAGTATAAATTCTTGTGTCCTCCGAGCACACCATCCGGGCCAAACGCGCGGATACAAATTTACTAGCCGGTGGTTCGAAATATCGACAGTTGGCGCGCCAGATAGGGGCTTTCTGTGCTTTTCAACGTCCACGTCAGGCCTCGGATGGCTAGTCACGGTGTCAGCTGGGTCCCGGGCATGCACGTGTGCATCAAGAACCTGGACTTCATCGTCACGACAAAGGGAGAGTTGGCGCAGGCTCCCACCGCCGTCCAGCCTCTCCACTCTGTTGGACCCAACGCGATCATCGAGGCGCTTGAGGAGCTGTAGCTGCACGCATCGAGGCCCGTGCCCCCGGGAGCGACTAGCTCCTCGGCTTTGATTATGGGAGGCTAGAGCGCTAGCTCGACGCCTTCCTAGGACCCCGACCGTCCTAGGAGGACCTATGCCGCCTCACCTTCTCGTTCGCTAATATCACGACGTAGCTTGCCAGAGAGGAACCGTTTTCCCCGGAATACCTCATCCGGAGCGCTCCAACATTGTTCCTATTCGGTCTACGCAATGCTTTGGGGACCATTGGCTACCCCGTGGCGCAACTCATGCACCCATCCCCTACGATCGACGAGTTCGTAGGGATGACCGAATACATCACGGAATCTTTTCATGACCATCTCGCGGAAGATTCAGAGTCGCTCTCTAACTCTGACTCCAGCAGGGGGAGCCATCACCCCCCACGAGAATGTTTTATGGCAGGTAACCCCGAGGGACGCGTCGAAAGCATCCATAAGGGAGGGGCTACCCCACCAAATGACCTTGACGACGAGGTCAAGGAAGATGCAGGGGCCCTTCCTCGCATATGGGTGGAACAGCTAAAGGCACGGCACCAGGAGATCGAGGATGCACGACTACAACTCGAGTGGGAGCACGCAGAGCTCGAGCGAGAGATCAAGCACCGCAGAGATGGTGGGCGTGTGCGCCATGGCCCGTGACGTGAACCGAAGGATCATCAAAGATGATGGAGCCCTCCCACACTTTGCTGGGCAAGCCAGAACATCATTGTCATGGTGGCCTTGCTCCAAGGACTCCTAGAGCCCACGACACCCGAGGATCGTTGGGCCCACCGCGAGATCCACACACTGCTCGAGTGCGCGGCGGTGCAGCAGGCGAAAAGTTCGCCGTCTCAGCGACGCGAGCTTGATGCCAGTCAGCATGCGCCCTCGGGACGACATGTCAGGGACATGTCTATCCACTAGGGATCACGTGGCGGTGGGGAGGTGCGCAACGGCCCTAGTGCATGAGTGTATTGGCCTCTACCGTGACGCACGTAACACCCTAGATGCCCATAGGCATGGACAAAGCAATGAGAGAAAGGAAGCTGGCCATGGCTACCACCCTTGTCGCAGCAGACGCTACGACAGCGGCGAGGACCAGAGCCCGAGCCCTGACCTACCAGGACCTCAGGCCTTCGGCCAACACATCCTCAACGCCACCTTTCCACCGTGGTACCAACCGCCGACCAACATCCCGAAAGACACGGATAATGACAGTTTCATTATCCACAACCTCCCATTGTTCCTGGCTGATTCGGCGCAAACATGGTTGGAGCACCTTCCGCCCAACCGGATTCAAAGTTGGGCGGACCTAAAGGAGATTTTCGTGGAAAACTTCCAAGGCACCTACACGCGTCCTAGAAACCCGTGGGATCTCAAAAATTACCGATATAAGTCTAGGGAAACTCTTCATGAGTACATCTAGCGCTTCTCCTAGTAGTGCAACAAGCTGCCCGACGTCGCCGACACCGATGTTATAGGAGCCTTCCTATCCGGGACCACCTACGAATCCCTGGTTCTCAATCTAGGACACAAGGGCCCGTGAACCACCAAGGAGCTCCTCGACATCGCCACCAGCCATGCCTCGGGCGAGGAGGTGGTTAGAGCGATTTTCGACTGCCCTAAGGGCAAGGCAAAGCTGGACGAGGACGCCGGCGAAGGTGCCTCCAACCGCCCCAACACGAAGAAGAACAAGCAATGGCACGAGGGCTCATTCGTGGCCACTACCGACCGCAAGGGGGTCGAAAGTCCACCGAGGGTACCCCAGACCACTTTGAGAAGCTGCTTGAAGGGCTATGCCCGAACCATGCCTTCCCCATCAAGCACCTATACAAAGACTGTGCCCTCATGAAGCGGTTCCTGTCCAGTGGCTCCAACAAGGGAGAGCATAGGAAGGAGCCCAAGCCGGCCACAGACGATGTCGAGGGGAAGGACTGTGGCTTTCCGATGCTGGATGGCTACCTCATGATCTTCAGAGGGTTGGTGGCCTACGACTCCAAGGCCACCAGAAGCTTGCGTGTCGTGAGGTATATACGGCCGAGCCGGCCACGGCTTCCTTCCTCCGATGGTCGGAGTCCCCCATCACCTTTGATTGGACCGACCACCTAGAAAGCGTTCCGTAGCCGGGAAGATACCCGCTCGTAGTCGACCCGATCATCAGCATGAAGCGGCTCATTAAGGTGCTGATGGATGGAGGCAGTGACCTCAACATCATGTATGCTGATACGCTCGACGCCATGGGCATCAACCGATTGCGCACCCAACTATCCGAGGCGCCTTTCCATGGCATCATGCCTGGAAAGCAGGCCATGCCACTTGAGAAGATCAATATGCCCATCACCTTTGGGAATCTAA